TTGATGGCGAAGCCAGGTTACTGAGGCAATACAGCTCCCTCTAGCAAACCTAGGGCCGTGTAGTGCCCGTCCACCTTTCTGATGGTGTCTGCCTCCGCGCACAAAAATGAGATGGGCATCACTGCCTACGCCGACGGCCAGAAAGGCCCGCGCATCTACATTTTCCCGCCTGACCCCATCAGTGCCGACCCAACTCCACCACCACACGCACGCCTCGCGGCGGATGCGCAGCAGCAAGAAGGTTTCGGTCATCCCTTGAGGGTGAGTCTAGCCCTGCTCGCCAGAAAGACCCCCCCCTTCGCTACAACCCATGTCTAAGCAAAAGCTTGTCGGGGAGCGAGGGGAAGAAGGGAGTCGGTACAACGCGTAAAAGAAGCGTGACCTTTTCGTGGAATCCTTAATTGGTCTGCATAATAAATATTCTGAGGCAAGGTTGCAGGGCTACCTGCTGTATTAGGAAGGAATTTGGACAGGGTTTGTTTTATTTGTTGTTGGTGTTGTTGTTGTTGTTGTTGTTGTTGTTGTTGTTGTTGTTGTTGTTGTACGCCACAGCTCTTTTTATCTAAAGTAAAATTAACTTCGCTTCTTGCGCTTTGAGTTTTCGAACTCACATGCATTGCATGCAAATCGTGAACAACTGCAAGAAAGATTGTTTTCGTCTTCTGTGATACTTTCAACGACACGCTGTAGTAATGAAGGTGCTGCTGTAGTCTCTACACTATATATATACCGTACCATATGCCGGTGAACGTCTTCTCCAGCTTCGTGCTTTCGGTATGCTGTGCACAGTTTTCACCCACCACCCTTCATCATTTTGGCGTAATACAGAGCTGAAGGCGAGGGCGCCTGGCGCCCGAGCCTGGAGACCTTGTATTACTAATATTTCGGCACGACTATTATTATTTATTGTACGCTTGTGAATGGGTGTAAAACCTGTAAATACTGCATGGTATCATGAGCTGTTCCGATGGTCTAGATGGTTACGACGCCACCTTGACATGGTGGAGGTCGCGGGTTCGAACCCCGCTTGGAATATTATTTTGTATCCAACACGTGGATGGACGGGTAAGATACCACCATTAGTCATTTTTTTGGTTTCACACCACATCCATCGCCGCCGCATGAAAAACGTTCCAACGAAACCTAGCTGCTGTTGCATCCCATCATCCGTCCCCAGGAAGAAGACGGAAAAATTGCTGCTTTATTTTCGGAAGATTTGGATCCATGCATTTGTTTTTGGAAGACTTGGATTCATGCATAGCTCAGTCCATGCAGCAAGTGTTTACACAAACAGGACGACGACGTCAGTTTATTTGTTTTCGAGCGTGTTACTGCGCAGCCAGGGAGGGACATGAAAAGATAACATACAACGCTCCGATGGTCTAGCTGGCCATGACGCCACCTTGACATGGTGGAGGTCGCGGGTTGGAACCTCGCTTGGAGTACGTTTGTTTTTTCTTCAACTGGATGGATAAAAGGTAGGATGGCTTGTCCTTGGGAACTCTTCTTTTGGTATGTACACGAAATCGAATTCATTCCCACTCTACCACCGCCGCCGTAAAACGTGTTCTATCGGGGCGAAGCTATTTGTATCCTATCATCCGTCCCCAAACCGGAATGAAACGTAAGTTTGTTTAGAACTTTTAAGCTCAGTCATCAGTGACGCAACATGTTTACCCTGATTGTTTGTACATATTCGAGCAAGATGAGGCCCGCTCCTGTTTACCCTCCGCGATCCACATCATCAAGATTATGTGACCAAGGAAAACAGAAAATATTGGGGTTGGTGGTGAAAGCTGCTCCTGATTGCAAAGCACGTGCTCACTCACTCGTCTTCTCGTGAAAGAAATCCCGACATGTTTCGGTACGCCGGGAACACCATTCATTGTTTGCGAAACACGCATGCATGCCGACCATGAAGCACCCACGTATGGCTTCGTCGAAGAGGATTTTATGGCCAAAGCGAAAGTTAAAGGTGCTGAACGGGATTATTAGGGCTAGGGTGATACAGAGGCCGAGAGGTGCCGGTGGTGCATTGTCGTCTCGCCATGGCACTCAAAGGTGAAGCTACGCATCCGCCGACCGTTCGTTGGGTGGGAGAAACTAACGTGGGCCTCGTCGAAAAAAAGAAAAAAGTTGATCAGCCTGTACGACAACGTTTTGAAGCCCCCCCGAAGACATTTTTGAGCCACCTTTGGCAACGTAGAAAGGAAAGATTGGCCATCGGTGATCGGTCCTGTGGGAACAATGCTCCGTCCTCTCGAGGACGCGTGGGCAATGGTCTAACCGCTAAGGCATGCAAAACATAACAAGAGTACGCCCCCCCCCCCCCCCCCCCCCCCCCCCCCCCCCCCCCCCCCCCCCCCCCCCCCCCCCCCCNCGTTGTGTACAAACGGTCAAGCACCCTCGAGGCAGTTACTCAGTGCTTACAACTGTCTTAGGAAGTGAAAGTACCAGAAAATAATTGAAGTCATATGCAGCTGTCATCCATACGCAAGGAAGTAAGGACGAGGTGCCGAGAATACCATTAGCAGGATGCAGCGCACCCTTCATGCGACTCGCCGAATATCTCGCGGCGCTTCGCGCTTGGTGATGTGAGAGCCTGGTCCGGTGAGAACCC